ACGATGCCTAGAGTACGGAGACCTGTACGATTTTGTCAACTTAGTGAGTTTGATAGGAGCCGTATAGTGGGACTTCGGGAAGCTGGACTTTCTTTTCGGACAATTGCAGTTAGAGTGCAAAGAAGTGTAGACACTGTGGTTAGGTGTTGTCAGGCATGGCTTCGAGAAGGCCGTACGCAAAGAGCAAGGGGCACTGGACGCCGCCGTAGAACAACAGACCGTGAAGATCGCCGCCTAAGATTATTGGCCTTAAGGGACCGTTTCTCCACTACCAGGTCCATTGCAAATGAACGGTTTGCAGAACATGGAAGACCTATTGGCATGCGAAGTGTTTACAGACGAATGAGAAGTTTTGGCTTGTTTTCATACCGGCCACACTGGGTCCTCCCTTTAACTCGAGAACACCGACGTAATCGCCTTGAGTGGTGCAGACAACGGTCACTCTGGGATCAGGAATGGAACATTTATTGTCTTTAGTGACGAGTCTCGATTTTGTTTAGGCATGCACGATGGTCGCGCCAGGGTTAGAAGGCGACGTGGTGAAAGGAGGAATCCACAGTTTTTTGTTGAAAGACATGTTCATCAAACTGTTGGAGTTATGGTTTGGGGTGCTATAGCTTATGGTTCCAGGTCACCTTTAATCTTCATCAGAGGTAACATGAACGCGCAGCGTTATATCCACGAAGTTCTAGAACCCCATTTTTTACCCTATCTTGACACCCTGGCAGATCCAACTTTCCAACAAGATAATGCCCGACCACATGTTGCAAGAGTCACAATAGACTTCTTTCAACATAACGATGTCACATTGTTACCATGACCACCAAGATCTCCCGACTTGTCCCCAATTGAGCACGTGTGGGATATGATGGGTAGGAGATTGCTCAATTTGCAACGTCCTCCTCAGACTCTAGAAGCACTTCGAGAGGAGTTGGTGGTTGCCTGGAATGAGATACCACAGGAGGACATTGACCACCTGATCAGAAGCATGACTAGGCGCGTTGGAGAATGCGTAGCACATCAGGGTGCATCCACACATTATTAAAGGTCAAAGGGCTTTAAAGCAGTGCAATCATTTTGAAATTTTTATCATTTACTTATTATGCTTCGCTAAGTACTTATACAAAATTTTATTAAAATAAAACCATTTGAACTGGGTGTTCGGATTTATATGTCACTTAGTATATGTACATATAACGCTTCAGATCGAATAAAAAAAAAGAATTACTGAAAATTGTGACAACTAGCCCCGGTCTCCCCTACACCATCGAAATTGCTTTTATCTGTATTGAAAGACCTGGAGGTAAACACTGCTTGAGCACCCAGGAATATAGTTTACTTGAGTGCTGGCCAATACTTCCAAAACTCAGCACTGCACTTTAACTACTGGAAGGCAGTTTATTTTGAAGCGATTCTTAACCTTGTTTGGTAGGGCAAAATTTGTGAACTTTTACTTTTCGTAGACTGTATTCATCAATAATTCCTGTGAGCAGCTGGTTCACTTTCCATCATCTAACCTTCCTGCTCGTTTCATGTAAGACTACTCTATCTGGGGAACTGATCACCAATTATTATTATGTACCCGGGCCTTACGGACGTATGGAGCTCAGAGAAGTGGTCGGGTCCAAACAATTTTCTCCTCTAAGACGTCAACCATGACTTATCACATCCTAAGCCTGCTAAATAAACTTGCCACGATACTGTCCTCATTCCAACATGGTCATGTTCTAGGGACATTGAAAACCAGTATAGGTTTCTCCGCAGCCTTTTTCCTAGGTTGACAAAAAGCATCGCACTGGTTGCAAATTTTGGGTGGTGCTACCACATGTTTTAGCGTACGACGAGCTTGATCCTCAGTATCGGCTAACCGTGGGCTTGAAGTAACACCATTCATGCATTTGCCTATAGCAGCACTGTAGGTACATGCAGGTACTCAAAAATGCCAAGACGCACTTTGACAGAAAATCTGGAAGTTATATCTTCCCGGGAATAAAGCAACTAGATGGCGTTTATTGGTCCTAAAACATAGTTAAATAAGAAAATGAGTTCAAAAGCTTATCGAGCTTCGATGATTGCTTGAGTTTTGTCAAGTTGTCATTCTCTCCCTGCAGACATTAGTCAGAAATTTTCTGACAAAAGAGCTGCAATTAAGCAAGCGAAGAGGTCTTGTCACCCAGATGATATTCATAGAGCAACGAATCTTGTTCATGAAGTGAGAAACGCTCTTCAAGGTCGAGGTTTTCGCTGATGCAATGGAAAGTCAGTTCTCTCCCAACTATGACCTTGATAATGACCTCGACGAGGAGCAACATATTGTAAGATCCGTCCGGAGATATTTTAGGGCCAACGGCGTTAGTGGCAGTAGTGCCTCCCTTAGTGATTTTTCCTCAGAGGAATCTTCAGAAGATTCCTCAACTGAAGAGCTGCATGGCACATCAGGGGAATCTCCTGAGACTCCGCATTGCACACCAGCAGAGCTCCATTAAAGACCTCAAGGTAATAAGGTGCTGAAGCTACATTCGCGGAAGTCCTTAACTTATCTCGTGGCAATAATCAATGCCATGCTAAGCACCCAGCACTTCCCAACGGCGCGTAAGACCGCTGAGGTCATAATGATTCCAAAGAAGGTGGGTTCGATATTCCTCCAGGATTACCGCCCCATCAGTCTACTGTCAGCTCCTTCTAAGCTCGATGAAAAGGTGATCCTACGTCACCTTGAAAATTTCTCGGCAGACCACAATGTGATTCCTGACGTACAATTTGGCTTTCGGTCTGAGCATAGTACCTACAGAGCTACAGGCCATAAGGCTTGTTGAACGAGTAACCAGGGGATTCACCCGTAACGAAAGTACTCGCATCTTGCTTCTGGATGTCTCAAAGGCATTTGACAAGGTGTGGCACAAAGGCCTTCTCTAAAAATTGATCCATAAGGGCTTCCCCTTCTGACTCCTAAAACTTTTGAAATCCTTCCTCGAGGGTAGGAAATTTCGGATCAAAATTAATAATGTTCTTTCGTCAACACGGCCCTTCAAAGCCGGTGTCTCTCAGGGTTCGGTTCTTGGACCAGTCCTTTATTCACTTTTTATTCATGACGTCCCTTGCCCCAGCACACACAAAAAAGAGTGATCTTGGTTCCAGAACACTTATCTTCAATTGAGGAACGGTGACTTCGATATGTTTCTAAGACATATATCTTTGAATTAAGGTCAATTTCTCAATTGGAAGTGCCATGATTCTTTAAAACAACGAAATTAACTCTTTTAAAGTATCTGTGATCTCGAGTCAATATCATAATTTCATAGAAACTCATGCTCTTGAATCAATAGCACTCTTTTTGTGTGCAACTGTGAAATCTATCTCTATGCTGATGACACTGCCCTGGTGGCCCAGTCGTGCTCTGGGAATCTAGTTCACGACACGAAGAGATATTGGAAGAGATATTGGAATGGACGAATCGGTGGCTGATCAAAATTAATCATTCGAAAACGCAAGCAATCTATTGTACTAAAAAACGTAGCGGCGCCCCGTCTGAGGTTTCAGTAAATGGAGCTCGGGTACCATGGGAAAGCTCTGCTAAGTTACTCGGTGTCACTCTTGACAAGGGAATGACCTGGCAGAAGCACACTGATGCGTTAAAAACTAAATTCCAAATCTCGCTTCGGCAACTCTACCATATGCTATGTAGAACATCAAAATTAAATTTGATCAACAAAGTTCGGCTATACAAGATGGTTATTAGACCAGCGATCACTTACGCAACTGTGGCTTGGTGTTTTCCAACCAAAGCGCATTTGCATAGCCTGCAGGTTTTGCAGTAACAGAACCTTGCGTACAATCACTAACGCCCCATGGTATGTTTCCAACGAGACCCTTCACAGAGACCTTGACATCCTTTACCTAAGAGACTACATCAAACAACAAGCGCAGCTACGCCATAGTCAAGCGAAATCGCATAACAACCCTTTGTTGCGCGAGTCAGCAGACTACACAGTCGAGCAAGTTCGCAAGCACACAAAGCCGCGACTCGTACTGTGAACAAAATTAAATCGTGCGACTTTAGGTCCAACCAAAATTATAATTTTTCTTCAACAACCAATCCCAGAATTAATTTTAGGATCAATTTAAAATTGCCGAATACTAATTAGCAATGCCAAGGCACCCCTCAAATTGACGCACTTTTTTTTCTTTGCTCTCCCTCCTTCCTTCCTTCCTTCCTTCTTCCATTCTTTCTCCCTGACTTTGTTTGGTGTCTGGGCAACCAGACCTGACACACCTACTGATTTACAAGACTTCAACCAAGAGCAAAGGTCCTAGGGACCGCTCTGACAATGATGAATATAGACATATTTGTCACCACCGAGGGAGTGTCTTGAATTTTTGTAGCGTACGAACAAATAAAAGCATGGCACTTGAGTAACAGACCTTAAAGTACTCGTAGGTAACTCAAGATTAACCCTGTATCTGCCTTTGCGCGACACCTTATTGAAAAAATCTAATATTGACATAGGTTATCAGTTACGACTTATAGATGACATACGCTATTATAAAAGTTGAAAAATAATCTGGGAAAATGACTTTAGAATTAGTTGCTTATAAGCAACATTGGGAGATAAAGTATAGGTTCTATTGTTACTTGCAAGCAACATTGACCGATAAAGGTAAACCCAAATGCACTGGTTTATATGGAAATACAATTATACATTTCAAATCATTTATTTATAAAACGAATATCAAGAAATAAACAAAATATATATTTCTAGTTTCACAAAATACAATGTGATGAAACAGCTAAATCTAATTGGAATGGAAAAGGTAGAAACAATTCTTATTTGAGGTGAAACAAAGCCTAAGATTGCACTTGGTACAAAAGATTGTTGTAAATACATTGGTACAGTGCCTGCATCTACCTTTTGTATCATAAGTTGGCCAATGACCTATGCCATCTTATTGGGTGGTGATATCAGGTCTCGGCAGTATAGGGTTTGATATTATTTTCGCAGGCGTTTTATTAGTCGAGGAAATGGATGGTCTGGTACGAGAACTTTGTTTTCCTGCGTTGGCCAACGATTTGGCTAATTCCATACGGAACTCCTTTAGCGGTTTTGACGTTAGACGTGCTGTGTTGCAGTCCTTTCTATACAGAAGCCAGGCGGTGATCATTGACATATCAAGAACCCATGTGGAAATTAGGAAGTACCATCTTTTCGATCTGCTTGGACTGCGATACAGACCAAGTAATGAATTGGCCTTATCGACTCCGCCCATGTGCTTATTGTATTGCGTTATAACGGATGGACGAGGGTTGGCAATTTTTTTCTTTTCCACTTTCGAATATCTTTTTATCGATTTTACGGGATTTAGGCCACAGATTGTACTTGCTAATAGAACAAATTTATTGTCAGCAAATTTTACTACTATTATACCTTTGTCTGTATCTGCTTTATAAACGAGTTTATAACAGTTCTTGCGTACAATTTCTAATAAGGGTCTAATTTTGAAATATCGATCCTTTGTCTGGTCTGTTATGTTAGTATTATCATTGAAATGGATAAACCGCCTTAGTTTCTGAAACCTCTTCAGAGGCATTATATTGACCACGTGATCTACTCTTGTACTAGCTGCCCAAAAATCTTCTATGGCAGGAAGTTTTATTACACCCATAATCAAGAGTAGAGATAGAAAATCCGTTATTTCTGACGGATTTGTATCAATACATTGCCCAAGTTGCTGAGTACTATAAAGATTTGTCTGATAGACTATTCTATCCATTAGATCAAATGAAAAAACTTTGTAAAATACTCAATGGGAACTGCAATGTTGACAGCTTCAGGAAAGTCTGGTGAAGGTATGTTAGCAGAAACTATGTCAGCTTCAATTCAACAATATGATTCAGTTTTTCGTCTTTGTGGTGGTGGCGGCTCAGTTTCATCGTCACTTTCTTCGAATTCAGAATTGCTTTCTGGAACCAGCATGTCAAGTCCTAAAGGCACTTCTTCTGCATCGTTAAGCTCATTTGTTTGGGAAATATTTTCTCCGTCACTGAAATCGTCGTCTGAGACATCGGAAATATGCGGATCTGTGGGAATTACGGTCGGTGCCGTCTTTTTGCCGAAAAAACATGTGGTGCTTATGGTCGGAACATTATCCAGATCGGAAGACTGAAAAAGAAAACGTAATTATTCTGCCAATGTTGCTTGCGAGATACATACTAAACAAAGTCATTTTCCTGCCTTATTTTCTGATCTATCGCTTAAAAATAATCATAAACATAAAGACCCAACCTTCTTTTATACCAACCAAGGCTAATAGAACATAAAAACAAATGATTACTTACCATTTGCAACTACTCGTAAAATCCCAACTACAGAGCACCTGTTACGCGGCAACCATATTGAAAATGTTGACTCAACTTTTTATAAACAGAGGTCGTTCATAATATTATTTCCGTTAATGAATAATGTAGCTTACGCGCAACACTGCCCAATCAGACCGTTGGAGCAGGGAGGATGAGAAATTGAGGTTTAAAGATGATGTTGCCTACAGGCTACAGCACCAGATATAGGGTTAATGGCGTTGTAAGGATGCCGTAAGGACGGAAACAAAAGGGCATATGGTTGCCTTCACACCGTTTTTTTTTTGCGATTCTGTCAACTGATGTTGCTATGGAGACTAGTTGGAGCTGATATTCGCCACCGCTGGTCGTCACTGCCACCACAAATTGGCATTTTGAAAAGGTGGCTCCTTATACAGGCTGCTGTGAAGTATTATTACGGATTGCAGGTTGGTATGTAGCGAGATGATTAGCATATGCAAATTGCTCTTCTATTAAAACCATCTAAATACTTAAATTTCGCTAAAAGTCTGCATACTCGCTTCGGCAGCAGTAAATATCATACAAAATTAGCAACTACAGCACGGTGGTGTTCAGGTATTTAGCATAATAGCCGGTCTCCGATATGATATCGGCATTTTTGTAATTTAATCGCAGTCCGTAAACTGTTTGACATTTCAATATTTAAACGATTTTAATACTGGCGTAAGTCCGAACGGCACTCGTAAATTGTTAAATTAATTTTATCCATAAAATGCCCTATCGGACTACCACGAATTTGCTAGTACACGAGCATACAAGGAGACCCAGTCTATGATGTGTGAACTTATATTTGTTACCAAATTCCTACTTCAAATTCAAATCAAAATATTTATTTCTTCATGAATAAACGTCATAAACAAAGGAAATTCTACAATACAGGGTCCGCAAAGTTGGGGTTTTCCTTTTCAGAAACAACTACCCTTGAAATAACAAAGGTAATGTGTAGTGAAACGAGGGCGACCAAGTAAAAAAAAATAAAGGAAAAAGTACTCACTCTCCAGTTGACGAGAAGGGCTAAGTACGTCTCTGCCCGAAATCATACCACTCCAACAGAAAATGAAATCAGCTGATGCGCTACCTAGCAGACGCAGGCAAACAAGGAAGGCAAAATGTTGCGTAAAAAGTCTAGGTATTGCATCCCGTCCAATCGATTTGGGAGAATAAATGGTCCAATGAGCATACCGTTCACCATGCCAGCCCAAACATTCACCGAAAATGTTTGTTGAAAATGTGCCCGACGGACAGCGTGCGGATTTTCTACTGACCAAACATGAGTGTTGCGAAAGTTATTCACCCCATTACGCGTGAACGTAGATTCGTCTGTCACCAATATGCACTTCAAAAAGTCCGGATTATTGTCATGTTGATGCAACAACCACTCACAAAACCGCACTCTTGCTGGAAAATCGTCAGGTTGAAGGGCTTGTACACGTTGGACGTGAAACGGATACAGCCCCTCTTCACGCAGCGTTTGCCACACTTTGGTTTTGATACTTGCACTTCTAGCCACGTCTCTAGTGCTTGTTGAGGGATTCTCGTCTACGCGATTACCTCTACACGCGTGACCATAACCGTCGGTTGACGGTTGCATACTGACCTGACACACTGACCCCGACCCAGTTCTGTCGTCGGGTTGAGCTAGTGTCCTAGTACCACTCGGGGATGTCGCGGCTACAGGACGGTATTAAGATATTTTTGATGTTGCAGAGCCTTTTATCTCGGTTCCCTTAAGATATTGGCTGTATATGGTACTAAGAAAAATTGCTTATGTTTTCAAGATCTACACGTCGTGTAAAGGAAACCCCAACTTTGCGGACACCCTGTATAGAGCAATAACGAAAAAGGACAGTCTCTCGAACAAATCTATACAACTTACGATATTTTTGATCACACAAATGCTGCTAAAGTAGCTGGTGATTCTGTAACTACGTTTTTGTCAGTTTTAAGAATGTTTTTGACGATGAGCTTTTAACTGAAGTTCGTAAATTATTCCATAAGTAAATCGCCACATAAGCAAACGATCGTTGGAAGGAACGCGTTCTATGCCTACGATAAAATTGAGATTATTTCTGCTCCTCTGGGCACGAGGCATAGGCACAAATCTTTTCTTAAATAGGACGGTTGACCTGTTTTTATAACCCTATAGATAAAAGAATACCTGTGATATTTTCTACGATTCGTCATATTGTAGTTATTCAGATAAGGAGTGATATGGTTTCGATATCGAATTCCAAACGCAAATCTCATGCAACTATTTTGAACTTTTTGTATGCATTTTTTGGTCCGCGACTATAGCGAAACCTACTTACCTACTGAATGGATGGAAAATAACCAGCTATTCTAGGCAACTCCAGGGATCAACGCCGGAGTACTCTCAAGATCTCTGCTGACAACGATGATCCACGGCTTTGTAAAATGGCCAGAATCTGCAGAGATGCAAGTCATTCGTTTCTAAGGTTTGAGTTGCTCAAGGTATGATTTTGCATTTCGTTAATTGCAGTAGTTACCGGAAATAAGTTAGGTTAACTGTTAGTTATGAAACACTTTTTAGACTTTTCACCACCTAATCTCCTTACAAAATGGATGAAGTGTAAAAATACAACTCGGAAATGTATCAACAATGAACTATTCTTTCTTAAATATAGACGAAATTTAACTCAAATTATAAACCCCTCTCCACTCACGAACTGCATGATATTACCATTATTTAGGCATAGCGGTGGCGTAGTGGTAAACGTTATCAATCGCCGTGCGCTACGCGTCCCAAGGCAATTTTTCTCTTGGCCATGGAGGTTGTTATTGTCCGTAGGTGGTAGACGGTCGGTGACTGTGAGCGCGGAGGTACCACCCGGCGGATCTGTAAGGTGAGGCCAGAATGTGCGCATCTTGCATCCCTAACTAGAGTCCGTTTGGTGCATCATAAATTCTTCCGCAGGGTCAAATGGTGAATAATGCAATTATGCACCACGATGATGCACATGCTCACACTTCATTGCTAGTTCGTGAATTTTTGGCCAAAAGCAATACTGTAACGATGGTGAATAAGGAGTACTACCTACAAATTCAACACCGCTTGCGCGAAGGCATCCGAAAAAAACGCCCGGATTTGTGGAAAAAAACAATTTATTCTAGCTTTTGCACCATGATGATGCACCTGCTCACACTCCATTGCTTGTTCGTAGATTTTTGTCCATACTGTAACGATGCGCAGGCCTCCGTGTGACTTTTTTTCTATTTCTAAAAATAAAGAAAACCCAAAAGGGTCGTCGATTTACAAGCATAGATGGCCTTAAAAGCGTATCGCGGAAAGAGCTTAAAAATCAAGTTTAAGAGGTGGTTCATTAACATCTAATGGGGACTATTTTGAAGGCAACAACATTAATGTAGACGAATAAATAAATATTTTTTTCCAAAAAACGTAAATTCACGTTCTTTTCTGAACACATCTCGTATGAGTTCAGTGATTGTGCAAGTATTTTCTCGTTCAAACGTATACCTAATTTTACTTCTGTTTGGGTTAAGAGCTACTAGTCCCAGTCATCTGCCATTTTTGCTGTTGCTTTAAAAGCTGTTCATTGCATAATGTTAACGACATAGTAATAAAACAAGATACGAGTACATCAACTTTAGGATTTTTACGAAGTAGGATTCGTGATACTTCCAGCATTTGCTATTAATTTTCTGTGACACTCTGTAACCTTTCGTGTATACAAGGAGGCATTTTCTAATTGAACAGCGTGTCGCCTAATAGCAATTACGTTTTTTCGAAAACTGCTTTACAGCTATCGTTTAGACTTTAATGAAGCGTTCGAGTTATTTAGAAATAAAAGTTATGCAACCGTGAGCCGGGAAAATATAAAC